TAAGCCTCTCAAAAGCGTTACAGGCCGGGCCGGGCCGGGCCGCTCATACTGAGATTTTTCCGTTATATTGAAAAGACTTCGCTTCGCTCGCTGCGCTCGCTCACTCGTAACCACATTTTTGGTCGTGCATCTCCCTGCTAAGCCACACTTACAGCAGTAGCACCCGCGACTGGCACCCGGACAGAGAGGAGGTGAGAAGGCTGACTTGACTAGCGCGTTTTTCAGTTTGTTTTTGTTTCGCCAAGCAAGTCGGATGTTCATTCCCGACCTGCGCACCACACCTTTCACCCGGCTCAATAATTTCTCGTCCACATATGGTAGAGTCAAGAAGCCATCTACATCCTCTTTTGTAGAACCCCGTTTAGTGCCCGCAGCTTTCGCTTCCCTTTAGAGTTCTCCTAAGCACGTTTTCAGGGTACCTGTTGCTAGAAAGGAGATTCCACATTTTTGTAACGCTCTTTTCTTCCCTGTCCTTATTCGAGGATACTGCTATGGCCCTTCTAAACTGGTTCCTAGCCATGCTAATTTTGGTCGAGGACGGATGAGCTGAAGAGAAATGCAGCACTATGCCCGAGTTGGTAGGCTTAATGACTTTGCCACTATGCCAAATAAGGTTTTTAACGCTAACAAATATTTCTCAAGCATTTCTTTTCAGTTGTATGGGGAAGGGCAGCCATCCTTAATTGCTTAATGGGAAAAATATAAAGCAATTTGAGGTTTTTTGCTCTTAAATGATGCACAAAAGGAGAGATACATTACTTTTTATAATACATTATACTTGTTGAAAATATTGACATTTTATAGTACCTATATAGAAACTGAAAAATGGTTCAGAATAGATAAATAAGCATAAAGATGATTGTATCGGTACTCTAGGACCTTGCCGCTTTCTTCCAGCGGCATTCAGAGGAAGAGAAAGAGGACGTTCTTGCGGCAACTTTCCGGCACCCTTTTTATCAGCGTTTTGATCAATAAAATGGTACATATTTCTTCAGCTAGTCATACTGGCCAACTCAGGAAATGTCAATGATCTTGGCTGTGCTGAAAAATTGGGCCCAGCTTCATACATTTTTTTCATTTTGGTAATTTTTGCTTTTCTATACTACCACTGTGCATTCCTGTGTCAATTTCCAATATATAAACTTTTACTTTCTAAAAACAAATTTGGAGGTCAAAGTGATGCTACCTTAAAAAATTATTTTAAATTGCATCGGATAAGTATTTCATTTTTGCATTGATAGCATGGTGGCAAAGTCATCCCATATGGCCTGCGATTCACTTGGAAAAATGTCCACCAAAAATTTTAGCTAAATGAAGTGACAAATGCCAATTTTGTTGGATATGCTAACTAAACAGCATTGTCATGATCACCCATACCAAGTTTCAGCATCGCAGTTCGTCTGAAACATGGTTAGATAATAAAAAGTTCTGACCTTTTCAAATTTGACCATTTCAATGACTGCAATAAAATGGAGCCCAGTTAGGCATTTAGTGGTAACTTATCTCTCAGTGTTGGTTATATTGGAAGGCCCATCAATTATCTTCATGCGTGCATAAAAAAGTATTACATTCTTCGTGAAATATCAATGGAGATCTCCCTAAAGGCTTTTTCGAGAAGCATGGCAAAGTCACCCCGCAAGGCAAAGTCACCCCCGTTTACGGTACCATACCATAATAATATCATAACGCTCCAAAATAATATTTATCGCCTTAAAGTCAACAGCGTCGCCGCAAAACGTACACGTTCCGTCGGTGACAAACACGTACTGGCGGCCAGTGTCAGAAAAGTGGCCCGTTTCTAAGTTTTCTTGAACTCGGAAGATTTGTTCTGCGAAAAGTCTTGACTAAAGAAAAGCAATTTTTGTTCTGTGAGCAAACGTTCCCTAAACAGATGATTTCTGTGCAACAAAGTACCTCTACCCATCTATGTCAGCATTATCAGGCTTGATGGAGCATTTCACAATGGGTCACTTAATAAAAACCCAACTGCCTACCCATTTTGACTGATTTTTCTTCTTCAGCAGATCAAGTCATCTCTCTCCAGTCTCCATGGCTACTGAATGAAGACCTGGACTCCTGAATAGAATGCAGTACAAACTACTGACCTACTCCCAAGAACCAGCACCGCCTGCTACTCTTGGTTCACCAGCTGACAGCTGTTGGCAAAACTTTCACTGATATTAGATTGATAGATATAACTGGTATTTGATCGGCAGCCTGAAGCCCATCAACTGTGATGTGTTATGAACAGGTGATCTGTGAATTGTGATCACACAGTGTGTGCATTAACAATTAATCCTGTATTTTATAATACAAATGTTGAAAATTTTGTCACTCTTTTAACATCTGGTTCAACACGTATGATATGAATGAAGGACTACACTGACACAGCATGCAGGAGCTGGAAATGGGCAATGCCCCAATGGATATGCAAACTTAACGTAATCAGGTGAGATAAACCTGAAAAGCTCGATTTCATATCCATATTAGCATGCAGTGCCTACAAAGTAGTGAATGCTTAAAAAAATTAACTGACAGGCAACAGCAGTTCAAACTTCAAGTTAATAACGTAGTCAGGTGAGATAAACCTGAAAAGCTTGATTAATTTACACGTACACTGGTCTGAGAAACAACACTACCAAGCTAGTGAGTAGTAAATGGGCAATGCCCCAAATGGATATGCAAACTTTACGTAGTCAGGTGAGATAAACCTGAAAACCTCAGCTTGATTAATTTACATGTACACTGTTCTGAGAAATGACACATATACCAAGCTAGTGAGTAGTACCTAAATGCTATCAGAAAATTATGGGTACTGGATAAGCATATTACCCATAATACATATATCAGCACAACCTATCCTACCTTTAAAATCACATTCTCACACAAATCAAACGAAGGTACCAAACAAATCACAAAAATAACACGCGAGTCATGGGAGACGAGTCATAAGCCTTGGCCTTTTGACGTCTAAAACACTGCCATCGCCGCACCAACAAGCTCGCTCCCCGCCCGGCTCCCTTCATAACGCAACCGGGCGCAAACTTTTTCTGAGTTCTCGCAGAACATATTTGGTGTTTCCGTGGTGGCAGACTATCCCCTGGTAAAAGTTCCCAATTGCAGTAAAGTATGAAAAAATGATATCAGTAGATGTAAAAAAGATTTTTCTTTTCAAAAATGTCAAAATTTAGCAATTTCATAACGTGTGATGCCCATATTTTACGATAGTCTGCGGGGTCGTTCCGTGCCTGCTAAGGTCAGCTTCACTTGGATCGTTTAAGACACCTAGACATCATTCATTGCAAAACAAGTTATGGCTAGAATGGAAATTGATTGGAAAAAGTTATAGAATAGTTTTTGTTTCGTAAAAATGAGCAAAAAAATGCGTATGGGGATAATAAGTGACAGCGTCTTTTGAGGTATCGCCTTTTTGGTGCCGGCATAAGAGAACTTGGACGATTTTATGGCAAAATTTTTTTTGTGAATGATATTAAAATGAACAAAATAAACAGTTATTGTCTTTTTGATGCCCTTTTCCCATCTGAATTACACAAAAAAATGACTTTTTTATTTTTCTCGAACTCATGGCAGTAAGATATCTTAACTTGTAATAAATCGACCGAAGGCATTATTTTGTGCAGCATATTATTCATTAAATTTTGTATTAAAATAAATTGAACATCGAAATCGTTTTTGTCATTCGGCAATGAACTTAACTAGCAACAAATACTTTTTAAAAAATAAATACATTCTCAGACTAGGCAGCGCTGTCTGGCGCGTCTCCGCGCGCTTTTACGCGACTGCGCCGGGTTAGTCTCGCAATTTGCGTGAGTTATTGTAAAGAAGTATAATTTCGTGGGGTAATTTAATAGTTAAATGTTTATGTGCAATTTTTTTCGTTTTTCATACTCAACAATATGATTTTTGTTTAAAGGCTGAGATACTGAGACTCATTCGACTTCGACCATCTTCGTTCAAGGAATCTGAGGTGGGATTGTTCATGTCTATTTTTGTAACAAGCTCAGGTAATGGTAATACTTAACATAAACCATGTGTTTCAGTTTGTCTTAACTTCTCCCTTCTTGATTATACCTTCACTTCTACCTAGGCTAAGAAAGTGATATCCAAGGGTAGCTGCTTTCACATTAGTAGCCTTCTGGTGGGTTCAGATTGTTTTCTTGCATTTAGTTATGATGTTGTTGGATTTCCCTTGTTAAAATTAGGCAAATGTGAATATTAATATTTATATAGGTATGCATCATTATACTTGAGCAATGGCAATGTAAGCTACCTGCCTATTAAGTAGATACAAGATTGCATGGGGATTCATTAAGCAGGCGTCTCACGAGATGCCAGATCTGAAACATAATCTAACCCGACCTAACCTTACCTACTAGCCTACAACCTACAAGCCTAACACCTACAACCTACCACCTACATTGCTATCGTAGACAGATCTGGCATCTCGTGAGGTGCCTGCTTAATGATTACCATTGCATGTTGGTCATGTGCAGGTGTTTCACTTTGATATGTGCTGCATTTCAACAATATCTGCCCATTATGCCAAAAAGAAACTGATATAATGCAGTAGCTGCATTAAAAATTTGGAACCTAGCTAAGATCCAACTTTGTTCTGCGACCTTTTCAAAATTTTAGTCTGCGAACTTAGATCCCCAAACCACTTTTCTGACACTGCTGGCGGCTTCATGTCACTTCATGAACTCGACAAACCCGCGTTGCTAGGCAACCGAAACAGATGATGCGTACTCTTATCGCCCGCGTCCTCTTACCCGCCCTTACCCTATGTGGTAGGTGGTAGATTGTAGTTTGAAGGCTAGGTTAGGTCTGGTTAGGTTGGGTTTGTTTTGGGTTTGTTAGAAAGAGGCATCTTCGGGTATTGTGCCTCGCCGTTTTTTAGATATTCGCGAAAACCGCAGGTGTGTGCTCATCCCCCCCCCCCCCCAGGAGGGCGCGGATTGATAGGACAACACCAGACGTACCTAGTACGGGCACCACCAGCAGCACCAGGTAGGGCAGCACGTCCATCCAGAGTGCGTCCACCAGACACCATACGGTCTCGATCGCTCCCTGGCGCGCCACCACGCTGAAGGTGTCTCCTGCCGGTGTAGGACAAGGGAAGCCGTCACAGCGCCGGTACAGAACAGAAGCTCCACTGTGGCACCACAACAGGCCACGATGGGCCAGTCGCCCGGAAATGCGCTAGAAATTTACGCATAAGTCATTGGTCTTAAAAGGAATCAAAAGCACATGTGTATTCATTATTTTCTTTCGACATGGACCAATGGCATAGAGACGCCATCTTTCCACTTGCCAGGGGCGGCAATATGTATGACTGGGATACCTTTAACCCGCACTCTGGTGGGGGGGGCTATTTTTTGCCCCCTCCCCCAGACTTTACGATATATCTCCAGAACCGCTGCGCCGATCGTCACCAAACTTTCAGTGCCCTCCCGGGCATCAATGTTACACATTGTGACCAAATTTTGTTCCAAAGACTATGATAGGTTGGCAGAGTGATATGATAATGATATGACGTCAGAGTGACGTCATGTTCTGCCGTTTTCGACCCAAAAAAAGGTTTCGCGGGAAGAGCTGTCAGGCCTATTTGACAGCTCTGACCTAAAGACAGCCTACCTTTGAAGATACAGAAAAACGTTCAAGACATAAAAGGTGTAGGGGTTACAAAACTGCTATCTCGAAATTTTGAATTTTTTGAATTTTGACCAAAAAAATTAATATAATTGCCAAACAATTCAAAAAGTTTTTTCGATTTACGAAAAAAAGAAATACATCTGATGGACCTTACCAAATTCTATTCACATACCAAATTTTAGATAGATGCCTCTTTATTAAAATTGATGAATACCCCAAAATAGCATATCAAATGCAAAAATAATCAAAAATAAATGAAGATTTGACCTCAAGCTGGCTGTTTCATTCTAAATACTATATTAAAAAGCAAAGGGATTTATGCCCTAGACAAACATTACTTCATGTAAAAGTGACATCAGCATATGTCGGTATTTTACCTGTAATCGGCATCAACTGGGCAATGGTTTTATGCTATGCAAAGCGCCGTCTCTCAACGATTCTAATGATACCCATTTTTTATATCATTAAGTCGGAATTGCTTTAACGTTCCAAGTTCAGTGATTTGTTCCGTGACGAAGCATGGTCACGGCGTTTCAATAAAACTATATGAAAACGTCCATAAAAATATAAAAATGTGTCATAAAAACAATCAGAATTGAACAATCTACGACGCCATACCTAATTTGAACCGATTGCAAGTCTATTTCAATCTTTATTCTACCCTTACTTTTGTTCCGTGTCATGGAACAAGAATATGATAAATTGAGAAATGCACTGCATTGAAATGCCGTTATGAGGATATGGTAACCTCACTGAAATGTCGAAAGCGAGCGTCTTTTGGGAAATTCGACAAATAATGCGCATCACGGTCAAAAGCAGTGTTTATTTTTTATCAGTTTTTCCTGCATAAAAATCATTTTTTTCATTAGTGGACAAGAAAGCAGGTAATCGATAATTACTGATTTGTTGTACTGGCGAGCAATGGTATCTTTGAGCATCATCATAAGTAAAAAAGTATGTACCTTATGCTCATTCTTTGCACTTTTTTTTGTTGAAATTGAATAATTAAACAAAATCATTGATATGTTTCGGCTTAGATGTAGATGTAGATGATGTCTTCGGGGTATCTCCTTCGCATCGGCACCCCTTGCGTGTGCGTGTGCGTGTGCGTGTGCGTGTGCGTGTGCGTGTGCGTGTGCGTGTGCGTGTGCGTGTGCGTGTGCGTGTGCGTGTGCGTGGGGGTGTGCGTGTGCGTGTGTGTGTGTGTGTGTGTGTGTGTCGTTTTTGTGACGGTTCCTTTCTCCTAGTGGTAATGCGCTGCTTCTTGCTCTGTAAAGAATGACCGAGCGCCATCTTCATTTTCAACTTCATCTTCATCTTCATCTTCTTGCGCCATATTCAGAATGAACAGGAACAATTGTCGACAAAAAAAAAAAAAAAATCGATTCCATCCGGCCCCCGGTCAACAGACTACTAATCTACAGTCTGTTGTCATAATCAACCAGGGTTTCGGAGTCGGAGTCGGAGTCGGAGTCGGAGTCGCCCGGAGTCGTGGCAAGCAGCCAGGAGTCGGAGTCGGAGCCGGAGTCGGTCAAGCTGCCTTGACTCCGACTCCGGAAAATAGCTAGAATCTGTGACATCACTTTTCAGTTTTTTCTTACCTTACCAGTTGCCCGCGGTAGAATTCGCTTCCGGCGATAAAAATTGCACTCATCTTGTTTTTGTTCTAAATGACAAACATTGGATCTTACTTCCTTACGTGTGTGTTTTATACCCACTTGTAGTTTTATAGATTGTGAATGATTGTATGACAAGAGCACTGAAAAACCATTCACATGGAGGACTCAATACATGATTGATTGATTGATTGATTGATTGACAGCAAGACAATGGCATAATTATTGTGTTTTATGACAGATTTCTTCGGTTCTAATTATCATACGATTAATTGCAATGCTTCATTTGAAAGCTCAACACTGGTGCAATCATCAGCCTTTGCATTGCAATTTCATAGAACCACAAGAAATGACGTTTTTAGGCCTTTGAATATTGACTTACTTTTAATCGACGGGTTCAATCCCCATCACCACCAACAATTTTCCGGGAAGTCAGGATAATGCAGATATTTGAGTAGAATGGCAGAGCTTTGTTCATACTACGGCATTCAAATACACATTTCAAGAAAAATGCTATTTTATCAGCGTGAATTAGGTCTCAGAAACAGCAACATGTCGATATAGTGACGAAACTAAGTACAAATGATAGCGCAAGAGAGTATCTTTAGCTCCCTAGCAACCACCTAGCAACGTGAGACAGAATAGTAAACAACTCGTGTTGATATCAGATACTCGACCTTTGAAGGATACTAGATTGTCACCATAATGGGCTTTATACTGAATTTTGCATACCAGAATGGTTGTTTCCAACTAAAATGAACTTGTAATCTTGCTAGGCACTTTTGAGCATTATGAATGTAATTATTAGGCATGCTATTAATAACCTTATGCTCATATTCGTAATTACATTCAAAAGAAAAACACAAATTAATATATTTCGACTTGCACCTTCATCAGAACATGAGAACAATTTGTCGACACACGAAATAAAACTGAGACGTTTCACTGAGTACCAGTGGCGGATCCAGGGGGGCAAAATCAGAAGGTTGCGTGTTCAGGGCCCCGTTTCATAAAGCGAGTCCGTAACTTACGCCGGTTTTTGGTCTTGTATTGCAAGCGCATGTGAAGCGATGACGATAGTTTGAATCGTTGAATTATCTTGCAAGCAAGAACAGAAGGGAGAAGGGGAAATAAATTTATCGCTTCACATGCGCTTGCAATACAAGCCCAAAAACCGGAGTAAAGTACGGACTCGTTTTATGAAACGAGGCCCTGATCACGTCGGGGTCACCAGAATGTGGGTCTCAGGGTATATAGGTGCGTGTTCGGAAGAAAGGAAATTACCCACAATGAAAGAACGAAATAAACAGCGAAACGATGGTTAGATATGGGTTAAAACTGGGAGAAAAACGTGAGAAATAAAACTAGGAACTCGTCGAAATACTCAGCCTCTCTGACACTCTGCGTACGGATACTAAATTTATATTTGAACTCAGACACGTGCCAAAAACCATAGAGATCAAAACGAACAGGAAGTCAACGGGGGCGGAACTACAAAGCCAAAAATTAAAACACTTTTTTACATAATCAAAAACGAATCGAGTATATGGAAACGGCGAAAAGTCAATCTAGTAATTACAACAAATTAAAGCAAGGACAGATATTAAATACGGTTAAAAACTTTAAAACGGAAGTGACGATAATAATGAATTTACAATAATATAAAAGAGGACAACAAACGTTCATGAAAAATAACATAAACACTGCGCGAGGCGGCGATTGGCGGCGCAAAGGGCGGCCGTGCTGGACGGACACGCCGCAGCTAAATAATACGCGCCGCGCCACAGGGCATTTGCCCCCCCCCCCCAAAGTGGCATAATTTTAACATTACGCCTACGGACGATGCATGGAAAGAATCGATAAATTGTTATGGTTTGCCCCCCCCCCCAAAAAAAAACTCTGAGCTGGATCCGCCTCTGCTGAGTACAAACGTGCAGAAATAAACGATGGCCTTCAATTCAAGATTATAGTTCGTTTTTTTTTTCAAAAGGACGCTGGCTAAAAGTTCATTATCGAAGCTCTCACGTGAGTTTTAGCAACCTTAGCGTCTGGCTCGGAATTTCTTGCCGAAAAAAAATGACTGATTTCAAATTGTGCTCGGTAAATACATGGAAACTGTGACTTCAAAAATGAGCATACTATGATGACGTCACTGGTGGCAGCTGGCACCCAATGTCCGTACGAAAGCATTCATTGCCGACGAATTTTGAGAAAACTTCGTTTTTTGCTCTTACCGAGGCCCGAATCGAGCAAGCGATCCTTTCCATGATAGTTTTGCATTGCATTCCAATGCAAGTCCCACAGCATGACGTCACCACTGTTCTCATGTCTAGTTCCAAAACGCAGGCATGGAATTTATCGGGAATAATTCACATGTTAAAATAAGGCGACGTTCGAGTTTCTCAGGTTCAGTTTTTGCCCGTTTTGCTCGCTAAAACACGTGCATGTTCGAAAAACATATTTGGAGCCAGCGTCCTTTTGAAAAAAAAAAAACGAACTAAAGGATCGAACATTTAGTAGGTCGGAATTTTATCATCATAGGCGTACATAAATAAACACAACATGACAGTCAATAACACTGATCACGTATAATGCATCTTTAACACTTACATAGCACATAAAACTATATCATTCTATGAATATTATATTACATATTTATAGAATGTTATATAATACATACAAGCGAATATGATGCATAAAGAATGTCATGACATATATGATACATACGATATACGATACGAGCAAGGCGCTCATACGCGCTGGCAAGCTCAAAGTGCCAAATTTACACAGGCCACCCAAAATGCATTCCAGCATAGTTATTGAGCATA